TGTGAGTCATTATCACATATGTGATAGAACTGGGTAAACACGTTCCAAATATAATTTTAACAAAGAGATCATTTGGTCTTCGGAGGAACTATCAATAAGCAGAAATTCGCCCGTGTATCTGTCTTTGCTAGTTACTTCAGTCGGTTATATAAAAGGGTAACTCCTGTTTTCCTTTTGCTTTCGTCACTTCCGTTTTCTTAAATCTTCCTTACGCATCTACCGTAGCAATGGTATCTGTGTTAAAATTATATTTGGAACGTGTTTAACCAGTTCTATCATATGGGCTGACACCAATATTGTCCTTTAAACTTCAAGACAAATATAGATTTTCAGTCGATGCATAATCAAGGAATACGCCCACAAACAGCAAAAAATATAGCCCGCAGCTTAAGCGAAAGGGAAACTTGGAGTTTTTACAAAACTAATATGGACCCTTCCTTCAAGAAAACTAATCTCTATCGTCTTCGCAGATTTTGCCGGACACGTAATATTCCTCTGGAACGGAAAGTTCTAGAATGCCAAGAATCACCGGGGTATATATGGTCTTAATGTTTGGCACCAAATGATTCGACTGAAATATAATAGGCTTCAGTCCTAATGATTCACACCAAATTTGAAAAAAAAATATCCATTAAAAATTATTCAGTGTTTTCGGAAAAGGGACATAACCACAGGCAATTGCTAAGGCTTGTCCTCTCGTGACCCCAATGGTTCTCAGCAGATTTCAGGGATGGATCTATCAATTTTTGCAGGAGGAGGTTTCCCAGTTTCCTGAGTCAGTTTCTCTTGGGGGGAGGGGTGTCACTCCTCTCAGCCTTGAAAATTTTGGAGTAACCAGAGGTCACTTTTTCAAAACACAGAAACTGAAATTTTACATAAAAAAGCATACTATTGTCTGCAAATTACGCAGGCATACATACACACTGAGCTTTTTTAAAGAGAGAACTCCAGTACCCCGTTTATTATGAATTAATAGGATCAAATTGTGATTCAATTTCATTGATCCAAAGCATAATTAAAATTATGATATCACATATATGCCTATATCATTATCTCGCGCTTTGAATGCCAATACCATCCCACCATCTGATGATAAAGGATAAAGCACACGACCATGAAACTTTTCTCATAAAAAGTGTTATTTTAAAAAAAAATTGTGTTAGAAACACATGAAAATATCTTCATCGCACATAATGGGAAAAAGGGATTATCTTTCATATTTCTATTAAACAAATTTGTAGCTAATCCTAAATTATTCAACCTGGGTTTTAAAATTTTCTGTGTATCCATTTAAATTGAAACCATATCATCACATAAAGCAATCAACTGAACAGGGCTTAACGCAATTTACGGCTGTTTTGAGAAGCTAATTACATTTAGTCGTTAATCTGTGGGGAGGTTTTAAACACAGATCATCACAGTTTATCTTACCCGAGAACATCAAAGGATGCCGACAGTTAGTCATTTGTCCCCACTTCACAGGTAATCCTCCAACAATAGCAGCGATTAACGTTTTTACTGCCCGATTACCTCCCCTTTAATTGGCAATACAATGACGTCATTATGTTTAACGCAACGCATGCATGTTAAAAGGCTAATCGCTTACTTGCTTACAAATCGCCTCGAATTCTTATCCATTCTTTCACGCGTGAAGAGCACGTGACGTAAATTATTAATTAGCAGTAAATCTGTTAATTCTAACAAGCTAACTTCACAACTTAATCTGTTAGCTTTTTACATTAAATGAAATTTCGTGTGTCGGTTTATTTTATTTGTAGAAGTTTTTTTATTTTCCATTTAGGTTTTGTTTAATAGCTATGGTTTAAGTGTGATTCTTTACCTTGCTGTTGTCCTAAAGTGTTTTATAAATAGTTATTTATGATTTAATTAAAACCACGCGATCTGGTTAGTCTATAGCGATCTGCTGGTTAATCTAAAAGTCGTTTGATTTTAGAATTTCCATTCTTTTTAAAATGAAGGAATAAGTTAGCCATTTTATAATTAATAAAACATAAGTTAGCCATTTTATAATTAATAAAACATAAGTTAGCCATTTTATGATTAATAAAACATAAGTTAGCCATTTTATAATTAATAAAACATAAGTTAGCCATTTTATAATTAATAAAACATAAGAAATCCGGAGTTACACGTAGGCTATACAGACCTTGTCACAAGAAAAACATTCTACATATTCCATAAATAAAACAACGAAATAAACATAGTTTATTTTTAAATTAGCATTTAAATGGTTTAATTATATCCGAGACAAAAAAAATCCAGATTGGAATGAAATGAAATGGGGTTTAACGTCCTACTGTTCTGCTCCGAACTGGGCTAATAAAGACGGGAACAAAAAAAAATAAAAAAAATAAAAATAATCCAATATGAAATGATTATACAGAGCGCGTTAGACCATAAGGTCTGTCATGGAGTCAAGTGGCGTAAGTTTGATTCCCGGCTTGTACGTTACAAGGAGTAGGGTCGCTTGTCCATCCTCGTAGGGTTTCTCTTGGTCCCCCGGTTTCCTCCTACAGCTGAAATATCTCTACCCGTAAACGAATTATTGAAATTAATCGGACGTTAAACCCCATCTCTCTCTCTCTCTCTCTCTCTCTCTGTTTAAATGTCGAACGAGGTCCTGGCAAGAAACTGCGTCTAGTTGTTCGGATGGAACAAAAAACCGAGGTCCTGTGTACACGTACATTGACGTGCACGTAAAAGAATCGTCGACAGTTTGAATCTAAAATAAGAGTAGGCTGCAGTAGCGCCAATATCCGGGTAAAATTTCCCTCATAGTACATTGCATGCCGTATTATGTCCGTCTGCATTATGCCCTTTAAAGATAGCCAAGTTCATACCGAAAAGTGAGGTCTTAAACCCCATTTCATATCTTTTCATTCAGTAAAATTTAAAAAATACGTATATAATGCCTTAATATCAACCCTTTGTTCATGGCTTCATAATGGGTTTTAAATTTTACTCAATTTTACCATGAAATTATAAAGAAAATCCATTAAAATTCGTTAATGTATTTCCATTTATTGGTGTGAAACGATTTGTGAATCTTTTTACAAGGATCTGATGTTTGGACTACGATAACCGCTTTAAAAGTAAAACTCTCGGCCAAAGTAGGGATTAAAATTGTGTTAATTTATACAAGGGTTTAACGTATTTACAGATGAAATTAGGGGATTCTATTCATAAGGTGTTCGAGTCGTGTGTTTTTAATTGTCAAAGTTTCAAACGTGGGAATTTTTACAACTTTATCCTAAAATGTTTCAAGTAAAATTTAATTCTGTGAGTAATGGCACGAGTTCACGTGCTTACATTAGAAATTGGATATACACCTTCAATTTAATACTTTGAATAAATAAAATATAAATTCTATAACAGTAAATACCCAACATATCCTCATTTTAAACACTTTTTACGTCGATTGTTTTGAACATAAATTTACATAAAAAAAATATTTTTTAAATATATACACTTTTAAATATAAAGAATATCAAGATCGGGATAATAATGTCATAAATGTCGTTTCGGCCAATTCAATAACTGCAGCTATGTATTTTTTACTAAAATTTCAATGTTTTGTGTCAAGCGTTCGAGGTATATATTGCATACAGAAGTGACATCGTCGAATATGAACATACAGGTCGAATGAAGCCACTGTATTTGGGGCAAAACGGGTGGCTTCCGATAAAAAAAAAACTATGTTTAGTTTTGTGTCAAGCGTTCTACATATTCCATATTGAAGTGGCATCGTCGAAGATGAACATAAAATTCGGATGAAGCCATTGTATTTTGGGCAAAATGGTGGCTAGCAATAAAAATAACCTTACCTAAGTTTAGTTTCTATTGAAATAAACAGTTAATAGAATTTTGCTCTTCATACGTTTTTATGGAATAACAATATTATAGGTCAACTCGGTCCATACATGGCCTGCACCTACAATTAATACGAAAAATTATTCTAAATTCGTGTTTAAAAAAGAAATGAATAATGTCCTTCAGATTAAATCTGTTACTGAAAGAATATAATCACGAAATTTCTAATGTGTTTTTTTTTTGTTGTTTGTTTCTAAAAATTTGACAAATACAGAAAAGACATTCCTCAATATGGTCCAACTCAGAGTCTTTTAAAGTGTTTTCTTTCTGAAATGCATTGACAAGTGTTACTCGCTATACAAAATCCGCAAAAACTCAAACAAAGTTATCTAATAATTCTATACTAAAATAAACTTCATTCTTTAACGAATTTAAATTGCTAGACAATCAAATAAAATATGACAATAGCTGTTGGTCACACGAACTGTCAATGAATGAAATTAAACGAACAAAATATGTGATTATTTACAAGAACTCTTCAACGGATATTAGAAACAAAATCTTAAGAAAGAAGGAAAAAAAAATAATTTGGTGAGAGGCAATGATTATGATGTCGATTAAAGTAGCTAATTATTTTTAAGAACCCTTTAAAAGAATTTAGAACTTTATTTATCAATGGACAGAAATTAATTTTAAGGGAGAAGGAAAATAAAAATAAAAGGTTGAGAGGCAATGATTATGATGTCTATTTAAGTGGCTAATCAACAATTACCGGTAACAAAAGGTGAGTGGGGTTTATTTTACCTGGATTTACCTTGGTTGTTTTTTTAGCTTTACCAATAAAAACACCAACTCAATCAGTTGATTGTTCTCTGACTGTTCGCTTGGTCATCTCATACTATTCACCCTATTGTCCCTTACTTAAGGCTAATCCCCTTCTGCCCGAACACCCAGTCCTACATAGAGATAGTTCATATAGTAATTAGAGAGACTTATTGATTGTGTCTATCCGTATCGTCATCAACAGACCATACCTGTAATTAAAGAGCTATTGTTTTAATAAGAAAGGCAGGTAATAGGATGTTTTGACTTTATTTTAGGGATCAGTCCAAACCCCTTCTAGTATAAAACTCGTGACACGCTCTTGTTTTATTAACACTTGAGTTTTAACCGTCACCCGTGTAATATCTGGACTCGCATCTCGCTATTTTTGTTATTCTGTGTTTATAGTTTGAGTTACATCTCGTAAGGAGTAGAAAGTGACAAGTCGTGTGTTTTAGACGAGAAATACGTGCCTGGTTATTCTAGGATATAAAATACCAATCTACAATGTTACTAGAACATACAACATCCAGTATTCTACCAGTGAACATGCAGCAACTTCAGCAGAAACCCGTCAAGAAAAACGCCTTCTCTATCGAGAATCTGGCTATAAGTTCCGTTAATGAAGTAAAAACAGAAACGCCAGTCTATCCAGTGATTCAGACGACACCGTTGGTGAATTATCCTGTTCAAGAAATTGGCCCCAGGTCCGCCATCGTGCAAGCCTTCATGAAACCACCTGTCAGAATTTTTCTCGGAGAATCAAAACCCGTGGAATCGTCCCGACAGTGTCCGTCACCCATCCGTTCTGATCCAGCTACGACTCCCGGTAGAAAACGACGATTTAGTGATTTGGAACGTTTCAGCACAAGCACACCTAAAGATGGAAGTAGCATCAGTTCTAGCACGGAGTTTACTGACAGAAGTTTGAGTCCAACATCTAATATTTCAGGTAATTTATACTTTCTTTTATATACTTGTTGCTTTATCCGGCATTTAAAGGCAACGAGATATCTGGAATTTCATAGTAAGACTCGTATTTTCTTGAATTATCAAAATGGTTTTAAAAGAACAACATCACATAACAGCTATTTAAGTCTATAACTGTGTTTTTTTGGGTTTTTTTGTTTTTTTTAATAATCGTTACCTTATCCGGAATTTTTTAACAGGCAACAAGCTATCTAGGATTTTATATGAAGGCTTGTATTGTCTTGAACTATCGAAAGTGTTTTCAAAAATACAAAACAAATAACAGAGATCAATGCTATAAAATGAATGCAATATTTTAATGGTATTACACACATTCTAAACAAAAAGAACAAAAACGATAATTAAAATATAAATTCGGGGCAATACCCCACCCGACCCCTTTCACTAAAAATAACATTTTCAACCTGTTGTTTGCCTTCATTATTCCAGTTGGAACCGAAATGTAGGACGTTAAACCCAATTTCATTTCATTTCCAAATTAAGTAATTTAGCTATGTTGGAAGAGAAATGTAAGAAGTTCAAAAAATTGTTGTTAATCGTTTTCCTTTGACTATATTTCTATACATCAATAATAGATTGTTTTATGTTTTTCAGATGATGATTTAGACGGAGGAAGACGAAAGAAAGCAAGAACAGCTTTTAGTAATGATCAGATCCATCAATTAGAGAAACGGTTCCAAGAACAGAAATATTTAGCTGCTAGTGAAAGAACAGAACTTGCGGAAAAACTGAAATTATCAGATCAACAGGTACAGACATTTAAATATACCCATATTGGTCAATGGTGGCACTAAAGGGGGGAGGGGGTCACTGGCTTCTTATCCGACTTTAAATTCTGGGCAATGTTGATTTGGACATTTATCGATTATTTGATAACTTTGCGATCACAAAATCATGTCGGACGTGTTCCATCAATTTTGACTGTCTAGAAGTCATTTGATAGATTGGCCAATGGCGGTGCCAGAATTAAATCCTGTACAATATTGATTTGGACATTGACCGCTTTGCGGCCACAAAACCAAGTCGGTGTTCGTCGGCGTTCCACCCCCTCTAGACACACTGAAAAATCATAGCGACGCCACTGCCTTGGTTCCGGCAACATTTAATCTGTTTCAGTTCAATTATAAAGTTAGTTAGGTCGTTGTTGTTGGGAGAGTTTGTTTTTGTGAGAAGGCTGAGCAAATTTTAACACAGTCGTTGATATCATGGTTAAAGAATAATATCTTAATTTTTAATATTTTATTCTTCAGGTTAAAACTTGGTTCCAAAATCGACGAATGAAAGAAAAGCGCCAGCAGACGAATAAAGAAGAACAGGGTCGATTATTCCCCTTTCCTACTGGTGGCGTTGACGTATCTCAACTACACGCCATGGGTCTACCTTACCCACCACCATCAGCACTCAGAAATTACCCACCAACATCACTTCCTATTTCACCAAATACAGCCTCGCTCCCACACACCTCTACACCCAATCAGCAATCGATATTACCAGAACCGGGTCACGTGATGAGATCTGGTCTGTGTCCTCCTATGATGTCCCCGATGATGTTCCCTAGTTATCCGATGTTTGGTATGCCCCCTGCCATGGCACCAAGGATGGGCCACAGACCAGCCATGCCGTTCCCTATGTATTAGATAAAACGACACAAAACTGAGATAGAGAGAGAGTTACAGACAGATGGAAGTGACGTTTTCCAGACTAAACCTGTTCCATTTCACGAAAACCGCGAGGGAATTGAGATACAGACTTCAGAATTCCATTTCACGAAAACCCCGAGTGAAATGAGAGAAAAAACTTAAATATAGTGTGATTACTCCCAATTGTGATCTGCCATTTTTAAACCCATTTGTTGTCTAAATAGTTTGACCTCCAAACATCTTTTTTTCAAGCACGCTAGTATATACCGGGATACATTTTTATTTGATCAACGTTCAATATTCCATACGTTTGTGATTCTCTCTCCCAGTAACCCCTAGTGCAATAAACTATATGGTGTAGACTTGATCTAACCAGATGCAACAATTGGTGCTTTATGTATATTAATATATTTGTTATTGGTTGTGTGTGTATATATATGTATGTATATATTATAAGGATTCATGAGATGTATTATTATTTGTTATAATTTCATGGTAAAAATTAAAATTTTGTAATGAAAAAAAATGTTCTTTTTTTTCTTCTGATTTATGTGGACGAATGGTTAAGTACAAATTCAAACTATACAACTATGACCATACATGTATACAGAAATGAAATGGGATTTAACGTCTTTCTGTTCTGTTCCGACTGGGCTAATGAAGACGGACATACCTGACGTGCTATGACGGAAATTTTGCCGGAACAGCGGCGTTACGGTGTAGTCTTATATCGAATTCCCAACTACCAGGGGATCTTTTACGTGCACGCCAATGTGTATTTATGCGAAGCCAATGAAGAGAGGATAAAACAGGTGAAATGTGGTCAATTGTTGCCGCGGAATTTTGTATCCTTTGAATGCGGTATATTGTTGTTCTTTCGTTATCCAGAATAGTTGCGCAAGTGCAGTATTACGGAAAAGCCCAAATAAATGACGAATAGGGATATTGCAAGTTTACAGAGATTTGAAAATAAATTGAATGGCGTTATATTAGAATATATCGTCAATAGTTTTAATCCCCAGAGGCGGTCCTGTTTTGTAGTGAAGGCATATTTAAAATAAAAACAATTTGGGTGCGCACCCTTTCACCCTCCTCTCCCCCCCCCCCCCGCATGTACATATGAGGTACAAGTTTGGGTTAGGCCTATCTCATTCAGGTGGTGATTCTCATATTCCACCGTGCAGCTCCAATTATGAACATATGTACCACGAAAGAAATGAAATGGGGTTTAATGTCCTATAACTCTTCTGCTCCGACTGGGCTAATGAAGACGGGCAAAAGCTATACAGCGTGCTATGGGGGAAATTTTGCCCGGACAGCAACCCTTTTTTGCCAAGGGATCTTTTACGTGCACGCCAATGTGTACATGGGACCTCGGTATTTCGTCCCATCCCAACGACTAGACAGCTGTCCTTGTCAGACCCCTCCTCCTGCAACGGACTGTTTTACAGAGTGGAAGACTTTCATCACAATTGGATGTTTATTACAAATTTAATGTCCAATAAATTATGATATGATATCATGGACAGGTTCATTTAATTACGTTATTTACATATCAAGGCGTAATTTAAAAAGTATACCTGCACATGCCTTAATACATTACGGTCATAGAAATATTTCTATGGTTACGGTATCGACCATAGTAATAATAATATGGACAATTATGGTACCAACTAGGCCTATCGACAAAATGCCTCTAAAGAATAAGTTTGTTCCTTGATATTTCTCTACGTACCTTCCCAGTGACGGATCATGAGGACGTCGAGCCCCGAGGCAGCGAAAGTGCCGGGCCACAGTGACAAGATGAGGGGATCCTGGGATGTTCTCTTCCCCCGGGGTCCTCCCCCGAAAAGTATTTTGAAAGTTCAACCTGAAATGGTGGTCTGTGAAGTGTTTCACAGTGAAGTCATATACTAAAGCTCTAAGCAGTTATAGCGTCGATCTAGATCAGTAATCTGAATGAAATTGTTGCAGCAGGGGCCCCTCAAACTACTAGACTCTGAAAAGGGGTGACCCCCCCCCCAAAAAAAGTAGATCTTATGGTCTGTAAAGAGCCCCTAAAAAAATCCACGTCAAATTGGTCTATAAAGGGCCCACATGTTCTGTTACCATCAACAGGCACCAACTGACACCAAAATTTATTTCACCCAGTACAAAAATATCTAAGAGAGGGGTCCAGTGGCACACGGGTCAGTCCGGGCCCAATGACGTCGTTGTCAAGCGAGCTGGTTGAGTGAGAAAAGGGGGCCCGTCAGAAATATTGGAAAATTAACAAGACCGCAAGGCCTACCTCTTAGCCAGAAATAATATTTCGGGTTAAGGGTTATGGAAACATTTCTGATATCAACTTTTCGCTGCCAACCCACCCAATCGTTGAAATCGTTTTTTTTTTTGGTTTTTTTGTAACCGATGGCGATGCCCCTTTGGGCCCCCCTATCTAGCCTAATATTATAGAGCGAAACTCTACAGCATCGCGCGAAGCGCGGTGGTTGAGCAAAGCTCTTTTCCGGTAACACAGGAGCGTAACTGAAATTGTCACCCACAATCTGTTGATTAAAAAAAAATTCAGACCGGAACCGGATACACTGGGCAAAACAGGCAATGCGCATGTCAACTTACCAAATCTCGCCCAAGCGAGATTACGCGCCTCATAGAACTATTTCTATGACGCGTCTAATCAATGACGTCACATATTTTTGACGTCAATGAAAATAATTCTCACACTTTTTTGTTCTTTTTTAAAAAACAAAATTAATGTATACAAATTAGATCTAAATGAAAATCAATTTGGAAAAACTAAATTATTTAACATTTTTTGTATCACTTGAGAAAATTAATTATGAAGGTTTTATATTTGACAATAATCAGCTTCGCTCTACTCAGGCAATGTCTGTTACATATTAATAGTAATAATTTCAAATCTCATCGAAAATGGGCATGTTGTTTCACGACGTTTGGGAAATGCGTCTTCTTTATTTTCTTCTACAAGATTGTTTCGAAAAAAGGGCATTTCTTCACGATTTTGGGGAAATGAGTCATTGTTTGAGAGAATCTGACTGCATTTAGTTGAAAATCGTCTACATTTTCAGAGTTATTTCACAGTCTACTACTTCCGGTTTTGACGTCAAAAATGCTCCTCACTGTGAAAGACGTCACAGATACAATGACGTCATGGTTACCTGTAACTAACAAGAAGAGTAAATGGCGACAAGGGGGGTACCTCTGTCGACCGACCCCAATGTTTGATGGCCAAGAATAACACGGCATATTCCAGAGAAGTGAAGCGGGCTTGTCCAGCAACACGGTAACACTTTTATCTCTTAATAAAACCAATTGATAAAATCATCCCTTGGGACACTACGCAATTAAATAACGATTCAAGTTGCAGTATTTTTTAGCCATTTTGTTAGGTCTAGGCCTAGCGCTAGGTGCTTAGTTTTACTACTTTGTCCAGCCCAAACGATTGTATGATCTAATATGATTCCTGTTTGGGTCTTCACTAGGTGCAAGACTAAAGATTAAAGATGCATTATGTAAGATTTAGATAGAGATCTGATGTAATTTTTTTATAAATCATATTCATATATAGGCCTAGGCTAGATAGATAAAGTTCTATCTATACCGGTACTAATAATATTAATAAATAGAGCCTAATTTAAGTTAGGTTAGCCTAGTTTAAAAACAGATAGATTTTCTAATAATATTATATTAAAAATGTCAGTTAAATTAGATCTACTTGATCTAGGGCCCTCTTCATTCTGAGCGAAGTTATGACTGTTTCAGTGTTTGAAGAATGGGCCTAGTTTTAGTGTAGCCTTGATTGATTGTCATTGCTACCGTTGTAACTTGTTACGATATTATTATTATTAATAAACAAAGTCTTGATTATCCATTTTCGATAAATTATTAAATGGCAATTGTATTAATCTGTTCAAAATCACAAGCATCCGATGTTCTAGTCGTACTAGAGAGTTCCGTATGTTCAGTTGGGGCTAAAGGAAAGATTTGCAACAGGCACATTTAGCCATCATTCATACCATGCAGGCCTATCTAAGAAAGGGCTAGTCGGCTAGTGCCCTAGTTAGTGTTGAAAATCTGAATATTGACAGTAATTCGGCTAGGACCTAGGTCTAGCCCTAAAGTAGAAATTCTGTCTTATAACTAGTCTAAACAAAAACTAATTATTTGACTCTAGAGGCACTAGAGCCTAGAAAAAGAGATAGAAAAAAATTATGTCAATATCTCGGTTTTGGACAAGTGTTTTTTGTGATATTTGTACAGACTTCTAATATAAATCCCTAGACCATTGGTTCTCAACCTTTTTTTGCCAACGGCACACTTTGGAACACACGAAAAAATAGCGGCACACCTGACTAAATTTAAAATTTTGCAAAATAAAAACATTAAACATGGTAAGTCAGACAGAGACTAGTCAGAGATACATAGAATGACTCAAACTAAGTAAAGAAAATCACAGCTTATCAGTAGACACCAGTCTAGGGATTTAGATTAGAAAGTCTATAATATAACTGAGTAAAATCATTGCTTTATGTGGTCCTGTGATAAATCTAGACTGTCCCATAAACTTTCCGAGATTTAAAAAAAAAAAAAACAAAAAAAACCCAAAACACTTCTGTGTTTTCTTTTTCTTCAGTAACGATTCGAAAAGGGCATTTCCTTGGTCTTCTACAAAACCGCAGAATATCAGTCAGGATACTAGGAATATCAACCAGTCAGAATACAGAGCGGTAAGTTTGGTGGGGGTTGTTAATTGTTATATTTTTTTTTACAAAATATTGGATTGTTTTATTCTGGTCAAATATATTCGCTCCTTTCTTTTAAACCATTCGTGAATTGCGGCGCTTTACGTAATACTTTCCGACACTATTATTTTGTTTTATCACATTCGCATTTTAAAGGTCGATTAACTTGCTTAATGCTTAATACTATAGACCATTATGATTTTATTTCATGACAGACCATGTTGTGTGTGTCTGTAATCAACTTTATTATTAGTTAAATGCATTAGTCCGACTGAAGCATAACAGTAGGAGGTTTATACCTATTTTTAGGCTAGATCTAATTACTAAGGCCAACTCAAGATTTCGTAAGGGTCGTTGATATGTAAATAAGGTTAGGTCACGTGATTGTTGGCGAGATTTTAGGTTAGGGTTAGGATAAGCGTTAGGTCCAGGGTTAGGATTATTGGGATTATCGCAAGCCCTGTTTAGCCTACATCTCATGACCTTGAAGTTGGCCTTATTAAATAGATCTAACTCTAATTTTACTATAGCCTTTCTTCATTTTATGCTTAAGGCCTACTAAAACCATTGAGACATTGTCGTCGATAAATACAAAATGAGTTAGTACAATCTGTTTCACGGAGAATTACGAGTCTTCTAATATCTCTGTAAAAGATGACTGCCTTTAACACGTGTCGTCACAGC